TGAACTTCAACCCCCAAAATCCCCCAGCCAGCGTGGGAATTCTGGGAGTTGAAGTCCACCCATCTTAAAGTTGCTGAGGTTGAGGAACCCTGATTTAGTTGGTCCTAATAAAGGCATTATCCAACTATGGAGTTTGGACTGCAGCATGGCTCTTTAGGACACCTTGACAACAACAGCAAAAAAAGCTTCTTTCCAAGCTTGTGGTCAGGCCTTTTTGACTCTAAAGGAACAGACTCACAAACCTCCAATGCCTTTGTCAAGGTACCACTGGGCTTTCTTGCGATCGCAGGTACATAAAGGCTGTCCATCTGGAGCATGCAAGAAGCAATTGTCATACAAGGGAGATTTCCTGTGAAAACAAAAGAATGCCACAATCACTGTCAGACAAGAACCTGGGACTTCTAGTGCTCAAAATAAATGCTTCCTTTTACTGAATGCAACTGCCTCCTCAATTTTCTTCCCTTGCATTTACCACTGATTTTAACTGAACCTACTCCCAAGTAAAGCTTTAAAACTATGCACATTTTATAGGGAGTAAGTCCCACAGAATTTTTAAATATAGATATATAATTCAATGAGAGCCAGTGTAGTATAATGGTTAAGGTGCTGGACTAGGAGCAGGAAGACCCAGGTTGTAGTCCTTAAGCATGGAAGCCAGCTGGGTGACTTTGGGCCAGTCACTCTTAGCCCTGGTCTGGGGAGTGAAAAAAAAAAAAATCTATCAACTCACACTGAACCAATGCAGTAGATTAGATGAACATTCAACACTTGATAGAGTCTGAGTAACAGGGGCAAATGTCTGCCTGATCATCTAGAGCAAGGAAATTAACTCCCATTGGAGTCACTATCACATCCACAGTCAAGGAACCCTTATCATGATCCTCTGATGACCACAAGGCAGAAAACCATCTCTGTACTCATCCAGTGCTTTGGCTGAGAAGAGGAAAATAGTCTCTCAAGAAGCTTAGGCATGGCTTTTCAATGGGGATCTTCATAAAAGACCTATGGCCAGCAATCAAAGCTATGCTGGAAGAAAAAAATATATTCTTGGACATTTTGATGAAAAATTATACAAAGGCACAAACATTTACCTGGCAGAATATCCTACTCCCAAGGGCTTTCGTTTGTGCTTCCGAGGATCTTTCACTTGCTGCTTGATTGGGGAGGATCCATTAGATGGAAGTTTCTGATACTGTGAGCTATGCTCCACATTTCCTGTGTTTTCATCATCCCCAAAGCTATTGTTATTTTTTCCTTTGAAGGGTACATCCACCAAGCCCTGACACTTCTTCAGAACCTTTTCCCAAACAGGAAGAATATGTCCACCACCTGATGCACAAGGGAGGCAGGGAAAGTTCAACAGGTGGAGGAACAAAGCTACTGACACCTGTGCATCTCGGGCGGCATAATCAATCTGAGGAGGAAACCCAAGAGACATGCCTTAAATTTTTCATTAGCATCTCTAATATTCAAGAATACCCAAGATGAATTCTTGCCAACAGCAAACAGAATGAATAGTTGGTAAGATAAAGAGTTCTTCCTCATGCTGCTAACCATAGCATGAAGTTGCCTCACTAACCATTTTGTAGACCAAGTCCTCATGATGTCACCTTCATCTCATCCCCAGACTACTGAAGAGGCAGAGTATAGCTGAACTACTGGAGAGGCAGTATACATCTGAATTTAGCTGTAGCATTCTTCCCTTTTCCTGGCACAAGACTTGCCACAGAAATATGCAGACTGTCTGCTTTTCCAGGCAGAACTACACACATACGCCTGCCCGCAGATCAGCAAGTTCAGAATCAGGTTCTGGCAGATGGTCTAGCTATCTATCAAAGCTTGCCTTCTTCCTAAGGGGGAGGGATGGGAATTGTTTTTCTCACCAGCAGGTGATGTTGGGGAATTAAACATGTGAGGACAGTCTTGGTTTCTGGACAGAACTGAGCAGAGCAATAAGAGCATCACAGAATCTGCCAGAAGACTGTTGTGCTGCCTCACAGCCTGGAGGAAGGCACATTAACATGGTCATGAGGAAAAGCCTGCTCTCCTCATGACAAAGTCTTTATTCTGCTTAGAAGCACCCCAAAAAGATATCAATGCCCATATGCAATGAGACTATAATATAGGTGTGACAATCCACATTTACTGTCCAAGATCTCATTACAGAAATCTGGCAGCAATATCAATAAATTACAGCAGCATGAATTTTGTTTTTTGGGTTTTTTCCCCCCAAAATCAAGGGAGATTGGGAGTGGGAGCCCAATTTCAGCCTGTGTTTGTTTTGGGAGGAGGAATTAAGGATGGGAATGGGAGAACAAGAGGCTTCCACTTCAACGTTTAAAACCCTGAAATAAACCAAAATCAGCTGATTCAGCTCCACCTCTTTCAGTAAGGTCACCGTGCCACTAAATTAATTCTTGGGCCACCCAGTCCTAAAACAGGGAAGGACTATTACAGTTTTAACCAAGGATTTCAAGTGGTTTCCTATATTCAGAGATTCCCCATTTTTGAAAACCTGTTTTGCTTCTGCTCCTTCCACTGGGAGAAATGAGGGGTCTGACAGCCAAAGTGAATGACCAGATAACAACTGTGAGTTGCCTTCATTGACAGCTGCTACTACAAAGCCTATAAAGAAACCAAACCTGTTCTTGAGTTAACTGTTCTGCTTCCCAATTGCTGCAGCACAAGTGTAGAGATTTGTCAAGCGAATATCGGAGAATCCTTTCCGCAAGAGATTTCAGGCTGAGCCCATTTGTAGGGAAGGTCTTACTTCAGGGTTGTACATGGAAGAAAAAAGAATGGCCTTTATCCCATCAAACAAACACTTTGGAACAAAATCATGAGTATTTATATGTATGCATATGTTAATTTGGGGATTTAATATTTAAATTACCAGCAATGTTAACTTTCTCTTGAATTCTTTTCACAATTGCAACCATTAGGCTAACAATGGGAGAAAACTTTATGTTTGTACAGCGTGCTTAATAGGGACACAAGTGGGATTAAGTGGATGTTTTAAGGTGGGCATTTAGGGGACAGTTGTTGCTGGAAAGCAGAGTGACAGCAGAGAAAGGTAACCAGATTGAGTGAGAACTGTAACTTTGTGTGAATTTCCCGTTTCCGACACAGCTGCTTTTCTTTCCCTTTCCTGATCAATATGGAAGTGGCTGGTAATGTAATGAAGACTTACCAATATTCTCCTGGAAATAAGAACCCTTGGGACACCAAGCACTCCTGGAGAAAATCAGCAGGGACGCTATATTCCCAAAATGAAGATTTTTGGCCAGATAAGTATAATTGTGTGCTGACAAACCAGCAGCAGATAATGTGGTTGGGTGAATAGCTGACTGGGTAAAACATGGTGTGTGAACATGTATCTCAGAATTTAAAATAAATAAAGCACAATGAACAATAAGAATGAAACATTGCCAGCATCCCATACCTACTGCATTTAGTGTTCTTCTAGAGCAGAGTTCCTCAACCTTGGCAACTTTAAGACGGGTGGACTTCAACTCCCAGAATTCCCCAGCCAGCCTTGTCGCCGGACTTGAAGTCCACCTGTCTTAAAGTTGCTAAAGTTGAGGTACCCTATTCTAGAGAATAAAAAGCCCTAAAATTATGTTAATTATAACATTCTTCTCAGATAACAAAATGTTAGGAACATTCAGAAACAAAATTATGGTGAAACCTCAGTTTAACAGATTTTGGGTGCAATGGACAAAATTTTCATCTGGATATCTAACCATAATAACAGACATATCCACTACGTCTGTGGATGAGGCACTTTTAAAATACCAAACAAACAACTCTATTGCATTTCCCTTATTCACAGTTATTTACATAATTTGTATGATGATGCCATGCAGATTACATCATTTGCATCAAATTATGTTATTTAAGCAAATAATGCCAAATGACCACATGATATAATTTGTTGTGCTTGCATAACAATGTCAATATGCCCTAGTGATGTACTTTGCAATATTATGGTCATTCAGGAACAACAGCCAACACCTCCATCACAAATGAGCTGTTAAATCAAGGTTACACAGTACCTGCCCTCCCAAAGAAACAGCTCTTCCACAAAGATACATACCTATGTCTTAGGGCCAGATACCGGAGGTCCATACTCCCTTTGACTGCTACACTGTAGTCATGAAATAGCTTACTGGCATCTTCCCAACATCCTACCCCAACTTTTAGGATTTTGCCATCTGCCAGAACTTCCAGCAAAGTCTTTGGAAGAACTTGTCCCCCACTGGTCAGCTGGGGCAAACGAAGAAGAAGGCAAAGTCCATTACAAGCAGCCAACTGTAAGAGAGAAACAGGCTTGGCCTTCTTTCCATCTACTGAGACCTAAAAAGAATTCAGAAGAAAAGAGTGATGGCAACTGGGCAACCTAGACTATGTCAAATCCACAGAGAACACGATGTATTTTCAGTAATGCCAAGTATACAGGCTGATCCTGACCCTTAATCTGTTAGATATTGCACTCTGTGATCCAGAAACCTTTCTGCTGATTGTAGAATGTATGCAATTAGTTATTCATCTTATACAATCCCAGAAGCACTCTCATCTCCAGACCGTGACACCATGTATAAGCCAAGAATATCAAGTCTATGTGTTTCAGATCAAAATCTAACAGTGACAAAAGCTTGTGTTGAAAATCTTGGCTGATAACAGTAATTCTATTATTCTAGCTAAAGTGTTGCAAAACCAGATATTAGGCACAGAATAAGCTTCTTCATTGGTTAGTTACACCATATTTACCTAATAGATGATGAGTTTTTTCTGCCAAAATAGCAAGTGAGGGAAGAGTCATCTTACACTGACCAGCAACAGAAAATGCATTAGAAAATCAGCAAGTAGGTGGAAGTACAAATGTGGATGCCTGTGAAGTTTGACCATGGCTGGTGACTTGGGAGGAGCTGATCACTTGGAACCTTTTAACTCATTCTGTACCATCTTCAGAGCTTCTTTCTTTTCTGTCTCTCTTTCCATCTCCAGTTATCTCTTCCCTTTGCCTCATCTCCATCCAGCTGGTATCCCATTTTTTCTTTCCTTTCTTTCCCAGTGCAATTACCCATTTGCCTCACACTATCTCCATCCTGTTCTCATCTTCAGGGAGGGAGGGAGGGAGGGAGGAAGGAAGGAGAGGTTTTGCACGTATGTGTGTGAGAATGGTCTGTGTATGGGAGAAATGATTAGTGTATTATACAGGGGCTCAACTAATTTTGTAAAAGGGGAAACTTATTTTACAATTAGTTAATTTGAATTCATTAATTCAATTATTCAATTATTTATTTATTTAATTAATTTATCCTGTACTTTTCTTAGAGTATATCTTTCGGTAGGTATACATACGCACACACACGTGGGTGTGTGTCATTCCATTATATAACCTTGAGAATGGCCTGAAATGAAAGGATGCAGTCCTGTGACTGAAAATAAATCTGGTCCTGAGCAGTTATGTAAGTAGCATATGTAATCCTTTTGAGCTCTATGGGAAGAAGATACAGAACCATTATATTAAAAAATAAACCAGCTGGACAAGACCAAAAGCAAAATGTAAGATTTGCTCAAATAGGCTATATCTATTTGCATCTCATATTCCCTAATCCCTACAGTATTAGTATTTTTTCTGTAAACATGTAGGTGCTTCAGGAAATCCCAGAGCTCCAGCAGCCCCTCTCATATCATACTCAAGTGAGGACAGTACAATTTTGTCTACAAAAGGATCCACACCTCAGGGAAGGAGTTTATTACTAGTAAACAGGGGGGTATAAATTCACATTTGGGGGACACTGTTCCATGTGGAATTTTTATAAAGAACCTAAACTGCCACATGAACAGATGCCAATCCAGACTTGATGTGAGGGTAAAAAAACACTTATTTATTAGCACTGCCTGTGAAAAGATGTTGATTATGACACGGAAAGAGTTCCCAACCCAAAGATGGGCTCCGGCAGAAATATTTGGTGCTGATAGGGAAACTCTTCATAAGATCAAGCAAGCCACATTATCACAGTCACTTAACTTGTCATGGGAATATACGGTATACAAGGCAGCCCTCAGTCTTAGCTTCTACAGCTTATGTAAAGAAATGTATTAATAATCTCTCTCTTCAGAGTTTATGAGACAGGCTTCTCAACAGACTCCAAGACTTACCCACTCACAGTCAATTCCAAGGACCGGGCAACATTCCAACTCTTTCTTTAATAAGGGTTCCACTTCATTCCACTTCTCTATCTCAGAAATGATTATTACTTTTGCCTCAAGAATCTCCTCCAGCCAAGAAACTGTAGGAGAAGATAAAAATGAAGGAAAAATGTCTTCTGAGATATCTTCCTTTTCCCGTTCCTTAACAGCTCCTCCTTGATTAAGTGTAATGCAAGTTTTATGTTTCCGACGCTGGATGACCTTCCAGAAGACTAGACCTCCTGCTGCAATGCCAAACAGGGTAGCCACAGTAACACTGACTGCTGTTGCTCTGGGCATTTTTTCATCTTCCTTTCTACTTCATCTTTGCAAAAATGGCAATACGCAGTGATCTAGTAACATGAAATAACACTGATAAAAAAATAAAGCAAAATTGTGGAGGAGAATTAGTAAGCCTGCAAAACTCACTCACCTGAAATAAGTCCTCCTGAATTCTTTGGCTAGGTTCCATATTATGCTAAACTATGTTTTATTCAATAAACTAAGCCAAAACTAAACAAACCACATCACAAATTATCATAATGTGTGGTTCAAACATTGGGACATTTCTGAATAAAAACATGAAAAATTAAGTTATGAATTGATCTCCTTCAGACAGGCTTCAAATGACCCACGAGTTTAGAGAAATGCACATTCATGTCATGACAAAGAGGTAAATTAATAGATGTGTCTTACAAATGTTGGTGAAGGAAGTGAACAGAGGGAAGCAACCTGGGCCCTAATTATCAATGCTGCTCAGGATCTAATGTGAAATATGAGTGTTACCAAATTGACTGGAAATAGTGGTAACAATTAAAAGTAATTTATATGCAGATGGAAAATTGCCAAGGTAGTCCAACAGAATCCCCATTTAACTTCAAAAGAGAATCTTTTTTTCAAAAATGGTTAAGAAGGAATCTGAAACAGAAAGTCACTTCACTCCAGAATGCTTGGAGGTTATTTGAAGCTGTATACTGCATACTGCAAGTTAATTAAGCCCCAATCATAGTTAATATGCAGCATCAAAGAAGCTCACAGAGGAAAGGTTTCCCTCAAAAAATGAACATCTTGCCTAAATGAGAACAAAAAGAAATTCAAACATTCAGAAGAAAAGTACAAGGAGATAAGGGATGCAAAAAAGGAGATTAAGGAACACAATACTAGTAAGATTAAAAAAATAACTTCTTAGGTATATCAAAAGCAGGAAATTTAGTAACAAAGCAATTGAATTATTGGATCAAAAGTAAATTAAGTAAGTATTTATCAGATATCCTACTAGGCACAGCAGTAAATCCTGGCTCTCCAGATACTTATCCCCATATTCTGGACTTTTTATTTTATTTTATTATTTTATTTAACAATTTATATGGCCACTCATCTCCCTTCTGCAACTCTGGGCAGCAAACAATAAATAATAGCAATAAAACCCCCAAATTCAAAAATTTAACATGAATATAATGCAGCCAAGGTCCTCAAAAAAAAAAAAAAAGTTCATCCAACAGCCATACAGCCACGTTTTTTGGAATGGAAGCAGGGTTGGGACTATCCAAATCTCAGGGAAACAACATCCCATAGTGCAGCTGCTGCAAAAAGAGAAAGTATGCCTCCTGGGTCCCACTAGATGACACTGTTTCAAGGAAGAGACCTGTGCCCATCCTGTCAGTTTTGGTGGGACAAAGAGAAAAATCAGAGACAGGTCATCCCATAGATAATCTGCCCTATCCCATGTAGGTCTTCATAGATGACAACAAACACCTTGAATTGCACCAGTAGGCAGCACAGCTTACAGAAGTATTAGGAGAATGTACTGTGGAACACCCAAAATTGTCCACACAATTGCATTTTGGACTAGCTGCAGTTTCCAAAAGCTCTACAAGATCAGCTCCATGTAGAGCACATCACCAGGGTTGATCCACAAACTATTCTTCCCCATCCAGACCCTCATAGCATCCAGAAACTGGGAAAGAAACTTGACATTGCTTGGTTGGCCTGGAGAAAAGATGTACAGTACAGCTGAGTACTGGTAGTCCTCATTTAGTGACTGCCTCATTTAGCGACCATTCATAGTTACAACAGTGATGAAAAAGTAACTTTGTGACCAGTCCTCACATTTACAACCTTTGCTGGTCTGTAAAGCAAAGGAAAGCTGAAGTAAAATTATAAGCACAGTCATGGTTTCACTTAACGACGGTTTCACTTAACAACCAAGTTACCAGTCCCAGTTGTGGTTGCTAAATGAGGACTACCTGTATTATCAGCATACTAATGCTACCATACTACTCTCATCCAGTGGCTTCATGTAGAAGTTAAAGAGTGGGAAGGGAGTAGAGCCCTATCGTACCCCACAAAACATAGACCTACAGCTAGACCTTTCTCCAACACTACCAACACCAACTGGAACCAGCTTCAAAGGAAGACAGAAAATCATCATAACAGTGCCCCCCACTCCCAGGACCCTAAGTCAATCCAGAAGTGCATCGTGACTGATGGTACTGAAAGCCACTGAGAGGGCCACCTCCTCTATCCTAGTCCCACCAGTGATCAACCACAAATATGATCAATGCCTTCTCTGTATTATACGCAGGCCTGAAACCTGACATAAAAGGGTCCAGATAACCTGTTTCCTCCGGGGCCCTCTGGAGCTGTACGCTACAGGTAGTCCTTGCGTTATAACCACTTGTTCAGCGACCGTTCAAAATTATGACGGTTGTGCAAAGGGGACTTATGACCCGTCTGCAAAGTTGCAGCATCCCAGTGGTCACATAATCACAATTCCGGTGCTTGGCAACCAGCTCACACTTACAACAGTTACAGCATCTCACAGTCATGTGATCACCATTTGTGGCCTTCCCTGCCAGCTTCCCACGAGAAAAGTCAATGGGGAAACCGGCAGGGAAGGTTGCAAGTCACTCCTATAAGTTGCTCCCACTCCCACTTTTTCTCCTAAGAAGCCCCACTAGCGTGCACACACCCACAGTACCCACCTGCCTGTACTCTGTAGCACACACCTGCACGTCCAGCCACACCCGCACCAGGCCTCAGCACCCACCTGCACGTGTTCCACAGCATCACCCACACCCAGCCATGCTCGTACCGGGCTGCAGCACCCACCTCCACCCACACTTGTGCCACACCAACCTCTGCTTGGCCATGCTTGCACTGTGCCACAGCTCCCCCACTTGGCCACGCTCACACCAGATTGCAGCACCACCTGTACGTCCACCCACACTCTGTAGTACCTCCCGCCCAGCTGCACTCACACCACACCACAGCACACACCCCACCCAGCTGGGCTCACGTTGCACCACAGCATCCACCCACCCCACCTGCCCATACTTGTACTGCAGCATCCACTCCCCTGCCCAGCCACACTCCATAGCACTCACCCACCCACCAGCCTGCTTGCAAGCCACCTAAGAAAAGGCCGGGACTTGCAACTTCCCGCCAGCTTCTCCACTGACTTTGCTTGTTGGAAGCTGGCAGGAAGTTGCAAGTTGCAGTCACGTGAGGTCCTCACTTAATGACCTGCAATCCTCACTTAATGATGGCAACAAGGACTGCCAGGAGGTTGAGGATTGGACACAATTTTCCAAATCTGCTAGATCTAGTGATGACTTCTTGAGGAGGGGACAGACTGCTGCTTCTTTCAGAGCTGGCAAAACCACCCTATCCCTCAACAGATCATTCACCACCTCGGGGATCTAACTACATCTAATCTCCTTGGGAGGCCTTGACCAACCAGGAGAGACACAGAGCTATGAACCAGCAGTGGAAACTCACAAACACAACACAGCTCGATTAGTTGCTTTATTACAGACAAAAAGAAACCACACACACAAGGTTCTATTTCCTGCAGAATACAGCAGTCTAAGCCAATTTAAAGAAGTTTATGCTCCAAGATTTAAATCTGAGGCTTTTTCTTCCCACCTTTCTAAGTCAAAGGTGGGCAAATTTGGTTGCTCTTTTCAAAGCTATAGAAGCAGATGAGATTGTTTATGTAACAGTCCTCCCTAGCCTGAGAGGGAGGACTGTTTCTGTCTCATCAGCTTTAGTCCTTGCAGTACTAAAAGAATGTAAGGAGATCATAGAGAAGAGGAAAAAGTTCTCTGCATTTCAGAAATTGTAGGGTAGATAATCAGTGTGTGATTAAAATTTTCAGGCAGAGAATATGACTTAGTGATTTTAAAAAATAACTAGCATTTACCAAGAATACAGAAATGTGATATTTTTAATCTTAAACAATGCTATGTAACTTGTCTTTAAGACTCACTCCAACCCCAGGGAAGGGGAAAGAGGCCAATGTACTCCACATTTTTAAAAGGAAATCCTGCTGGGATTCAGGAAATTACATCCGGTTAATGTCATTTCTGTACAAATTGGTAGAAAGTATGATTTACAACACTCTCAAAGGCTTAGATATCAGCCCTTTGAGGTAGGCCAGGTCAGAAAACAGACTCTAAAAGAATGACTGGAATTCTATTTTATTGATATAGGCTGTGGTAGTGTTTCGCAACCTTGGCAACTCTAAGATGTGTGGACTTCAACTTCCAGAATTCCCCAGCCAGCATGGGTAATTCTGGGAGTTGAAGTCCACACATCTTAGAGTTGCCAAAGTTGAGAAACACTTGGGCCATAGTAACAGAATCTTGAAAGCCTGTTTTCCCTTCCTTCCTTCTTACACCCCAGCAAAGTTAAGGCAGAGTTAGTCTGGGTTTCTTTCTAATACTTGCATTTCCTGGGCTTAACATATGTTTCTGTAATTGTCGCTGCATAGTTTCTCTGAGCTCATCCCTATGGCTCTCCGCACCAGGACAAGTTTTGCTGAAGAAGAATTAACGCGGAAAGTTTCCAAGTATAAGCCTAAATTTCATAATCTCCAAAAGTGTCAATGCACACACATGGTAAGACTAATCCATTAAATAGAGTATCAATGAATAACTATAGTCTTATCAATCCATGGGAGAAAAATTAATATCCATATAAAATCCTAACTGATAATACCTTTATTATAAAATACCAAAAGATGTGCAAACTTCCAAGTTCTTCAGAACTGTTCTGATTTATGAAGAACAAGAATCTGAAAGAAAGAAGAAAGTCACAAAATTAGACAGGATATTTCAAGCTATGGGGTCTGCCATCTCAGCTCCAATCTGCCTGGACTTTCAGAAGGCTTTTGACAAAACTCATCAAAAATTCTTAAGCAAATTTAGAAGTTATGAAATAGGAGAAAAGGTTCTCCTTTGGATTGTTTGCTGAATAAAATACAGAAAACAAAGAGCAGAAATAAATCAACAGTCCTCACACTGAAGGGAAACAAGATGTTATGTTTCCAAGTATTTTTAAGGACACTGGTGCTTTTAATTTTTGTTCTATACATGCTTTTGAATAAGGAGCTGGATGGCCAAGCTTACTCATTATGGTAAATTAGGGATCTTTTCAAATTAGAGGAATGGACATTAAAACTGAACACACAATTCGATATAAGATGTGAAATATTACAAATTGGGGCAAAACTCTGAAAAAGAACACTCTTGTTAAGGGATAGGATAGGCAATAATATTTTGTTGTTGGTCACATTTTCTGTTTCAGTGCATTTACTCCTCAACTTTACTACTATATAAACAGAATAACTTATTAAAATTTATAGTGGAACAACTACAGTAAAATATACAGACTGTTCCCCAGAATATTACTTTTCTTCATACCCGGAAAGTGGCATATTATTTATAACAGAAGTAATATTCATCAAGCTTTCTACCACACCTAACTTCTCTTTCTCAAAACTATAAATAATAAAAAAAATTAAATAGAAAACTGGCATACTGTAAGCAACTCCAGCTTCTGGCATTATATTTATTTACAGCATTGCCTTTGGGTCCATGCAGGTAAGAATTCTGGGAACTACAAGCCCAATACAAATAGAGGCTGACATAGGTTTGATGCAATTGTGACATATAGTCTTTGGTGCCACTGAAATAAGAGAATCTAATTTTAAACTCTTGTCTTGGACTGAAATGTGCAACAAAATTTTGTATACAGCATGTGAGCATTGTCAATGGCTGAATGAAAGACTACCAAGACTTTTACATATGCCTTCTTTGGGTCTCACAGGAAAGACAAGTGTAATAAACACACTTTGCAAATATTTTTTCAATTCCTGTTTGCATGCAACTTCAATGAGCAAAAAGTGAATACGGCTTTTTCCCCCTCCATCAATTTGGAAGCTTAGAATCTATACAAAAGGTAGAATTTTCTTTTTAAAGGTTCAGTACTTACAACACTCTCCCTTATAAGCATAGCCAAATACATTCAAATAGCAGTTTGACAGTAACAATGAAGATTTTCATTCCATCCCCTAACTTTACACTGAGAGAAAGTGCAATCCTCCCCAAACTACTGCCTCCAAAATACTGGACAACTTCCATTATCCCCAGCTAGCATTGCTGAGGAGTGAGCTACATTATAGGGAGGCAAAGGAAGGAGGACTGCTAGTAATAACATCTTTGGACGACAAAATGTTCCTGTTGTCCTCTACAGGGAAACACCGCGAGAGATTCCACAAAGAGCAGCTTCTCCATCTTGTAAACTCATTAGGCTAAAGTCCATTATGAATCTGGAAGCAGTATATTATTAACACCCTTAGAAATAGGCTCCGAGCAGAAAGCAATGAGGTCCAATAATCGCTAATACTACTGTAACCACAATCTCGGGGGAGGGGAGACTACCCATACGTAAAGAGAAAGAAACCATACATCCAGCATATCTTGCCTACAATCCTCAAACCAGTAATAA